CGAGTTCCTAACGCCTAATAATAATAATAATAATAATTTCATATTTTTATATTTATCACTTCAATTTTGTATTAAATATTTTAATTTTATATTTAATATTTTATCTTCTAATTTATATAATTAAGATATATCTAAAGTGAATAAAATTGGGGTACAACATGAAAAAAGCTGTAATAAAAGCTATAATATATTACAATAATAAGTTGTAATTCTCCTCTCTCTAAATTATGGCTTAATTAAAACAGTTAAAATTCAATGTAATTGTAGAACAAATAACTCGGAAATATAAACGGAACGTAGAGTATTATTTGGTAAAGATTAGTATTTGCAATAATACCTTTGTTGCGTCTGATAATAAATTCCATGGATCAATTATATTTCGATTAAGATAATCAAATCCCATTTCCCAGTTCACCTATGTTAACTAATCTTTCTATTTTACTAGGATGAGATGTGGTCACGAAAATGAATATGTGATCTTTAATGTGGAAAGCTCTCAGGAGCCATATTGCAAATGAACATGCAAATTTACAAATTGAAATGATCTAACAACTAAGAAACAACTAAGAAATAATTTAATATTTTAAAAGTATTTTTAATTTTACAAAAATGTTTTTAAAAATTTTTTAAAAATATAAATTGATTTAAAAAAATAGATTTACTAAAGACGCATAAAAATAAATAAAATTGTTAATGACTAATGATACAGTACATATAATACATTATAATTAATAATCCCTATTTTTATCGTAAATTAAAATTTATAATATTGTCATTATTTATACATTGTGTGTATAGATATAAAATACTAAAGATAATAAAAAAGAATAAAAATAATAAAGAAATGTATGAACCTAAATTACATTTAATATAAAGAAAAAACATAAATAGAAGTATCATTAAGAGATATTTATCTATTAAGAGATAATCTATATAATTATAAGTGATTAAAAAAAGATATAAAAAAAAATAAGGAAGATATTATTAAAACAAATTAATAGAATCGGCCTTACATGTTGACAAAAAGGAGATTCTATTTTTAAAATTGTATTTGTACAATTAAGACATCAGATATTAAAAGGAAGTAGTTATAAATCCATCCATATTCAAGTACCTCGCTTATTACATATCTACAAAGCGTTTCCTTCGCAAATACGTGGCATACATTATAAGTACTTACGTAGATAATATAATAATAATATATTATTATTATTATTATATTATTAATTATTACTTACGTAGATCAAAATTTTTTAAATAATTTTCAAGAAAAAAATAGAACATATTAAGTGAATTAATTATTATAATAATGTATATATATAATAATATTAATTATTGTATGTAACTAACAATAGCATAAAATAATGTTTTACGAACATTATCATTAAATCTTACTTTAAACTGCGTAAAGAATTAGACAGATTGATGAATGAATTTAATTTTGATTCTGTTTGTCTCTACAAAAAGATAGAGTAACGAAAATTGCAAATATTAAGCTTCAATAAAAATGTATTCGGCCTTAACTCTGCAATTAAATATCCGGTGAGTATATATACAGTTCATTAAAATGGACGCTGACAAACGTGCAATTAATATAGATTTGCCGAATTTATTAACACGTCGATAGAAACGTTTTAATTATAATACAATTTACACTTTATATTTATTTTTTCATTATTTTTTGAGATAAAAATTTATAAAAACTTTAATAAAATTTGAATAAACTAATATAATAAAAGAATATGTAATATACATATCTATAGAACTGCATTTATGTATGTACTTGACAAATAACATATAGTAAAAGCACTGAATTTTCTTTTAAAAATATAATTTTAGTTTTATTGTATGATAGAAAATGCCTTAAATTGACATTTATTTTTATTAAATTCATTAATTTATCAAATTTTTAACAGTTACATAAAATTATCATAACTTTTTTTAATTATACATATATAAGTATAATATATTTTTTTTGAAAATAAAATGTCTATTAATAAAAAAAAGAACATGTTAGGAAACATGATAGGATTCATTAAAATCTGCGCAGCTAGAAGATAAATGTCCCTTGACGTATAAAAAAAATCGATCGCATTTATTCAACGTAAAACGAGCGAAGAAGAAATTATTTTTAATATTATTAATAAAAAGAAAAAAGTAATCAAATAATTAAGTGAAAGAATTTGTCTGAGAAATAGTTTTAATATTTTTAAATTACAGAAACTTTTGATCTTCGTCAGCACAACATTCACAATCTCAAACTTCTTAAATTAAATATTTCCAAGAGCGGCTGCGCCACTATAATTTTTACCAAACTTGCGATTCTCTATGTTATTCGTAATAAACAGAACTAGAATTTTGAAATATAAAAACAGCATAAAATAAGATTTTCAAACTCTTACCAAATTTATAATAAATTACTTTAAAAAATTTTTAAATGTGTGTGTGTATGTGTGTATGTGCAGTTTACAATTAAATGATTTAATAAAAAATATTAAAGAAATGTTAAATTATTTTATGAAGAAAGATTAATCAAAAAACAATTTTAATAATTAAGTAAATTAATAAAAAATGTGTGCTAATTTAGAACACTTATAAATTGTAAAATCATATTTTTTACGATTTTATATAATACATAAATTTTTATTTTAAAAAATTGAAAAAATTAAACAACATTATAAATAACATTTTTTTGACTTCTTTAAATTTCATTATAAGCAACATATTTTGATTAATACATAAGCGATTTATATATAACATAAATAACTAAAGCACCAACGTTACTTTGACTTTAAGCGACACTTAAAACTGTCTTTATGTCATTTTAAAGCGAAAGAAAAACAGAGACACAGAGTTTTAAGCCTTGCTTAAAGTCAAAGTAACGTTGGTGCAACTGGGCCTTAATCATTTTTTTTTTTAAATAGTAGTGTAGTAATGTATAATAAGAATTAAAGAGTTTTTTCAATAATAAGATAATTTTTAATTTTTGCCATTATTTACAAGGAAAAACAAATTTTAAGAAATTATGTACAAAACAGCTCATCATAAAGAAAAAATAAAATTTTAATTCAAACTCAATCGTTGTGCAAATATATATGTCCCAAGTAAGCTATATATCCTATGTTAGCTAAATATACAATATCAATTCTATGATTTATTTGTGCTTTACTGACCTGTATGAAATATTGCACACTTTCCAGCAGCATCCCGTACATCTTGACGAACACGAATTTCACTTTACTTTAAGTAAAGTTTATTAATTAAATTAAATAGAGGAAATATTCGAATTTATAAAACGTTTTTTTGCAATCTTATAACACTAGCAAATCGAAATCCTTCACATTATCTAGCTCCATTGTAATCGCAACGTTCAGAAGACAAGTGTCGCGCCATTAGAATCACAACCTGGTACCCAGTGTTATTTGAACAATAGACTCCCTTCAATGCAGTGAGGAGAGGGAAGTTGAATGATGTGCGATAGATCCTGTTCTGACTGTGGCTTGAGGGTTACTCAAGCTAACAAGAATGGATTGAAGAGATGTACCTATGCGATGCGTGTGCGCAGACTTTATCGCTGTTTTATACAGAGGCGTTTATTCTAAATGTTTCAAGAAATAAATTTTAGTTCACAATTATTTGATGTATGTAAAATTATTTACGTTTAATTTCTAGAGAGTGATTTATTAATTATATTTTGAATAATTAAAAGATTCTTTTCATTAATATTTACGTCTTAATAAATTTGTTTCCAAAAGAATACATAAAGACATATTGCTAAAGGTGTTCTTAAAATTATTAATCACTTTAGAAAATATATAAATAATTTTTCCAATTGCGTTTTTATAATTAAATTATACAGAGTGTCATTAAGTTACAGCATTACCGATCCTAAGCAGGTAGAGCGGACTGAGTCGAAATGTCCTCTACCATTTTGCGATTTTCGCAATGGTTAACAAGATATTAATTACTAAAAATCGCTAAATATTGGTTTTCAATCATTTTTTACTCAAATATTATCAATTTTATAGAAAAACAGCAACAGATAAAAATGATTTATTTTCTTCTTATAAAGTTTTAAAAATTTTTTCAGAATTTTTTCAGAATTTGTTGGTACCATATTTTCTCATGGTGGTAAAAATAAGAAAATGCAATACTAAAAAATTGATAAAAAATTTTGAAAAAATTTTTAAAGTTCTATGAGAAGAAAATAAATAATTTTTGTTTTTTGAAATTTTTCTGTAAAGTTGATAGTATTTGAATAAAAAATTATTGAAAATCAATATTTTGCGATTTTTAGTAATTAATATTTTGTTAACCATTGCGAAAATCGTAAAATGATAGAGAACTTTTCGATTTAGTTTTAGTCCACTCTGCTCAGGGGTGGTGTATTTTAATGAGACCCTGTATAAACTTACAGATATAAATACATTTTGTATATACATTCAATATATTCTCATAAAAAAAAAAATCTACGCGATTTCGAGATACTCGCTATTTTCCATATATACAATCATATTTTTACTCTCTCTATCTGTAATCTGGGTCTTTTATAAATTAAATGTTAAATTCTTTATTTAATAAAAATTTAAAATTGAACAAAAATGAGAAAAAATAGAAATTTGTTTAAAAATGTATCACTTAACATTAAAAAACCAAATCTGTCTTCATTATTTCAAAGAAATTTGAGAGTAAACTAAATTTTACTTTTACTAAAGTGACCAAGATAGTAGACAGAGAGTTAAAATTAAATAAGTGGAGTGTATGAGAAAAATTCTTTGTGAAAAATTAAAGAATAGAACAAGAATTTATTCGTTCCCACATACATATACATATAAAAAAATGATAATATATTTTAAGAGATAATACACCAATAAAAGTCGTATAAAACATCTAGGTATTATTTCCAGGAAACAGAAATATGTACAAATATTTATCTTCATTCGTACATTAGATTTTTACTTCGTTAAAAGTCAACACAAAGTTGCAATTATATATCATAATTTTTACATCATCTCTTCATTCAATTGTAAGCCTTAATATTCTCAATCATTCGGCAAGAATCCAAGAAGCTCAATGGCAGATTTGTCGCTACATTTGTTTCAATTCTGTCACGTTACTCCGATTTCCATGTTTATCGGGCAGAATCTGATGTAGGCGTGAGTGTGCTGCGTGACGAGAATTCTTACCACGTGTTGGCAAAAGGAATGACGCGCGGCCTACTCGCTGCCGTAACAGAGAGATACGAACACATTTACGCCCACGTATACGTACATGAACGTTTCTGTATCGGTGAATGCGCCGTTAGTCGACAGTGGGAACGTAAACATGGCCGCAGAGAGTGGCGACGGTTTGCCAATATCCCCGTCCGAGAAATCGCTCACCGGTAGCCTCGCGTCCGACGAAAATGAAAAAAGTGTCTCACGTTCGCCGTCAAGTTATTCCATACGGGAGGACAAATGGCCCGATCTCGTCGTGTCCAGACCCAGAAAACTCGATGTCTGGTGGTTGCCGAGACGTGAGTACACAGCCCGATGGTTGCATGGTCTCATGATTCGGCGCGCTTTTTAAAAGTCCGGCGCTCGCGGGCTCAGCTTGGCGCCCGCGTGTTAAGCGTGCGTGGACGTACTATGCGCCCACGTGTCTCGCCATTATTGTTGTTTCTCTATTGACGATCATTCTGTCAGCTAGAAGACGTTGTATAAACTTTATAGATAATACATGTTTCAATAATTATGTAATTGTGTCAGATATATATGACAATGAAGCTGCAAGCAACTGCACTTTTCTTATTGCACGGATTATAGCGTCATAACATTTTTCTTTTGTGTAATTATATTAAATTATAAATTTGTATGTTAGAGACAAGAGACTTAGTTTTTATTATATCGTGTGGTATATATTTTTATAATTTTGTATAATATGATTAAGAGTTCGAATCATGACTTTAAATAACGCGCTTCAAACAATGTTAAATTAACAACACTATATAAATTTTTGAAGATAGAGAAAAGGAGTAAATAAAAAATTGATTTTTGTCATGCTACTAAGCGTAAAGTTTTCGATTATTTTTGAATTTCTTACAATTATTACTTGTTAAAAGATACAAACGCTGTAAAAACTTTTAAAATACCAACTAGCACTTATATGTTTCAAGAATTTCAATTATTTTAAATTATTTGTGCTTTTATTTGTCGTAACACGTAACATACACGCAAATTCTATTTCGTGTCTATTTATGTTGTGTTGGGAGTTTTACAATAAATATTTACAAATAATATAAAAAGTATATTATTGTAAATAATATAAAATAAAATGATTGAAGTATAACATGAAACTCCGTGCGAGATCGACTTGATCAATCGACGGATTCGATCCCGACCTTCGTCTTGTATGCTTCGATTTTATGAAATGTTAATTTGGAGAATTTGAAGAATGTGAGGAAAAGTATGAGTAAAAATAGTAATCCATTTCGGGAATTTATATTTTATTTATTTTTTCTATATAAATTAAATTTTATATTAACGAGGATATACAAATTGATATAAATGGAAATCATAAACGTTTGTATATTATTCAAACTATATAACACTTGCAATAAAAATCAATATTTATTTAATCAGATTCCTTTTAAGTGTTGATTTTCAATTTTTATTTTATTTAACTTACAATTAGATTATATCAAAATTTATAAATCTTTCTTTATACGAAAGTATTTTTATATGTAACAAATTTAATCAAGTTTGTTAAATTAATGTAAGGTACTTCGAGGAAAGATGCCACAAAGGGGAAGACGCCACTTTGTTTATAATTTTTTTATAGAACATGCATTGGTCATACTGACTGTACAAAAGCGTGTGGTAAACAGTTGCGCAGTTATCGGCAGAGATGAACAAAGTCGATTTGTAAAAATTACGAAATCCGAAAAAAATTACGAAAAAGGTAGATCGTGATACATACTCTTTATAATATTTGGTATGCTAATAACTAAGGTCTGTATTTCGATACTTACTGTAAAATCAAATGATACGGTTTTAATCGGTGTTCTCTGGAGGTCGCGGATGATATAGATTATAATTTGTAATATTCTTATATGCGTAAAAGTTGCAATTGAATATTTCTCTTACACTTGAGGATAAAATGAGAGTAAATGCAAAACACAAAGAAATGCTGTTTAAACGAATAAAAGTGTGTCCAACTTTTACTTCCTAAATTACTCTCTTTCATATTTTTTCAATTTATGTTTTATCATATCTTTATGTGTTCTTATAGTTTAAAAATCCTTAATTATGGATTATAAATAAATAAAATATGCAAGTTTATATTATATCACATTATATAATTGTGTGTGACATCTTTTCCCATAGGAGGTGGCATCTTACTCATACATATATGGAGGGAAGATGCCACTTTTACAAAATATAACATATCAATTTTTTTTAAATATATTTTTTAATAATACGAAACATCAAAAGTTTAATTTATTGATTTGTATGAATAAAGAAAGGTTGCTAGAATATACAAATATACAATATTTTTTCGTTCGTTAATTTAATAACATTAAGAAGTTATTCAAGAATAAAAGCTTAAATATGGCGTCTTCCCCTCAATGACGTAAGTTATTTTACTATGAAGTTTATTGAACTTTTTTATCAGTATGTTATTATGTATTATCAACTTCTGTAATTTTATTTGCGCGGCGTGCGGACTTTAATTACATATATCAAGTGATAGTGTATTATTGAGAGCAATAATCTTTTATGTGTTTTTAATATGTGCTGTGTGTATGGTTATCTATCATGTGAATAATCACGGAAAGAAAAGAGAAGACTAAACAATGTGGTACGTTAATACTAATTTTAATACAATGTCTGACTGTACTTTTAATGATGCTTCTTTTTTGTAATTAATGTGATATGAAAATTATAATGAAGTTATTTACATTGTTAAATTTTCTACATAAGAAACCCCCGTATTTACAGCTGCTTTAATTTTACGTGACATAATGAATATATGTTAAAAATTATAGTTCAAATGAAATAATATTAAAAGATATTTTTAAATGCTAATTATTTATAATTATGTATATAATATATTGATCTTTTCGAAATATTAAAATAAAATCTTGAAACATGAAAATTATCCTCTTTACTCTCTCGTTTTATTATCCTACTCTTTTCTGTAAGAATTTTTATAAATTTTATTCTTATTGTTGCGT